TTTATTTATGTGTGTGAGTGTGTGTGTGTGTGTGTCCAGCTCAGCCCACCAGGGGGCGGGGCTGGCTGGCATGTGGTGCTGGGGGATTGAACCGCTGTCCCTGTGCTTTGCTAAGCTTGTTCTAAGTAGGTGCTTTAGACCACTGAGCCATCTCACCAGCCGTGTGTTGACTTTTACACAGCTGGCACTGCAGCGTTCTCACAAGCATCACACGCTGTGTTGCGCTGCCCTTCTGATCTCTGAGATCATTGTCAAATATTCAGCCTGTCATAACTGAGGTGTTGGTAAGCGGCTCATGACTGTTTATATTTGCGGTGAAAACACTGAAGGGCCCTGAAAGGTGCTGTGAAAGTGAACCTTATTTGAAAATAGGTCCCTGTAATTGCAGTCAAGATGAGGTCATCAGGGCAAGCCCATCTCCACTGTGACTAGTGTTCTTGTAAGCACAGACACACAGGAGAATGCTTAGGTAATACTGATCCAATGGCAAATCACAAGGTGGTATGAGGTGGGACAAGACTATGGTGAACCAATATGGTTACCACACATATAGTCGCTTGGGTAGTACTGATTACATGGGGATCAAACGGGGAAACAATCACATAGCAAGTGCACAGGGGCAGACAAGGACTTTCCTGGCAGGGGTGGATTATGGAGGTTTGTCCTTCAACCCAAGGGCATTGATGCCTACTTACAATACCCATCACTGCTGTTCACCCCCAGTTCTTTTTCCTTTCTTTTTGGTCTTTTTGGGACAGGGTCTTGCTATCAGTTCAGGTTGGGCTTAAGCTTACTTTGTAGCTCAGGCTGATTTTGAGCTTGCAACAATTCCTCCTGCCCGTCTCCTGAGTGCTGCGATTACAGGCGTGCACCACCATACCTGGTTAGTTCTTTTCCTTGAAGTCCGGCCTCTAGTGAATATGCTTCTAGCTACAGCTGTCTTCTGCATTGACCTCTTGAGGGCTGAGCCCTGTCTATCTACGTTATTTCTACCTAAGGTAGCCTTGCCTGGGGCACCACAGTGAGCCCTAGGCCCTTGACTGGACCCTTTGGATCTCCAGCACACAGATGACCCCTGTCCCTTACACACCTGTCTCTGTGGCCACTATAAGCTGATCTTGCAGATTTGGACATGTTGTGTATCTTGCACCAAGTTCCTTGCTCTAGCAAGCACTGACTAATACAATTAAGGAAAGCCCTCCCCAAAAGCAAAAAGCCCCTGATATTTTTTCTATCCTCTGGATTAATGCACCACTTTGTAAAAAAAAATTTTTGAGCGTATTTAGTACAAGGTCTATGGGGTCTCATTACACAGATTGGACTCTGATGTTCTTCCTGTTTTCAGCTTCCCAAGTGGTAGGATTACAGGCACATGCCACCACGCCCAGTCTCAGTCACTGTTTCAGTGTGCCCCAGGGGGTGGGGCCAGCATGACATGCTGGGGATTGAACCTCAATCCCTGGGCCTGATTAAGCAGGCGCTTTAGTTTGCTGAGCTATCTGGCTGGCCCCAGTGTCCCCACTTTATTAATTTACTATTTTCTTTTTCATTTTTTTGTCCCCACTTTTTAAAGCTTTTTGGCTTAAGATGGTGATACTAAGTGTACAAAACCCCAACAGATTGTGGCTGCCCCTGCTTCAGAGAAAAACCTCTCTGGTGCTTCTGTCCATGTGAAAATGAAATGTTAAAATCTCTCCAGTTTTGGTTTAATGATACACACTATCAGGCAAAGGCAACAGCACAGGTTATTCATAGAACTCTAGAATGGGGGCAGATGGCATATTGTATTAATTTCCTGATTTAAAGGCTTGGCCCATTTACTCCAGTGCCTCTTGCAGTGTCCAGCCCCAAGAGCCTGGACCGGAGTCTCCCCCACCCAGCCCCCTGCCCCCCACACCTGGAGAAGGCTGCCCGCAGCCCGGTGTCGCACAGAGCACTGCCCCCTCTGAGAAGGCAGGGAATGGGCTAGTGTGGTATGGGGACACATTCCAGACTGGCTGGAGGCCAGCGCATTACACACCCATCAGCCTGGAGATAGCACAGGAGGCTATTCCAGGGCAGGTCCTCGTGTCCACCTTTGATCCCAAGCCAGTTGGTCAGTGGAGCAAGAGAGGCGTGCGGAGACCTGGCAGGGTGACTGCTGTGGCCATGTGTCTGCCAGTGTTGAAGACCCTCGGATCACACTCAGGAGACCATTCCGTCACTGGCTGCATGACAGTGGCTCGTGAAAAGCGAGGTGACACAAAGGTAGAAATGAAGGAAACAGAGAGATGAGAGATGCTGAAAGTCACCTGGCTTGTCATATAATTGAGATTATTCAATAAGCATTCCCTGGAATGTGGTCTGTAGCCCAGGGACACATCTGCTATCCAGCTGCTTTAGAAATGTAACCTTGATAAATGTTAAACACTGTAATCTTTAAGGTGTAATCTTGACTTTTAAAAAATTGCTTGAAACCATGCATGATGGTGCATGCCTGAGATCCCAGCTCCTGGAAGGCTGAGGTAGGAGGTATACCACTAGTCCAAGGTCAGACTACCCCCCGGTCAGCATGAACTACATAGGAAGATTGTCTCAAAACACAGGAAAACAAAACCTAAACAATGTGGGGACAGTAGAGCAGAGGTTCCAGTGTGGTAGTTCTTGGGGTCCTTGAGGGTCAAGGTCAAAACCTTTCTTCATAAAAAATACCAACAGAAGTTGCGTAGCTCATTTTGGGGCTGGTATAGCGCACCTAGAGCTCCAGAGCTGGCTTAGCATGGCGGTACCAGGGATCAAACCCAGATCTTTACACTTGCCAGGCAGGTGCTGAGACAACTGAGCTATCTCCCCAGCCCCCATTCTGGTCCTAACACTGCACTCCAATGTATTACAAAATTAGGAGTATTTAGAGTAATGTGAATCTTACTACCAGCCCTACCTGTGATTCACCCTTTGGGGTGCAGCTGTGGTTCTCAAGCAATAGTTCACAGACCAGCAGTACCAGCATCACTTAGTAAATGAAAAAAAAAAAAAAAAAAAAAAGAAAGAAAAAACTCTCTCTCACCACAGACCTACTACAAAAAACTAGGTAAAGGCTTGGCAACCTATTTAACAGTCACTAGGGGATTCTAAATTTTCAAATGCTAAGTCTGCAACCTTGTGTGAGCCATTGGATTAAGTTATCTGTATGAGAAAGAAGCGGTAACTTCCACTGTAGGCGCTGGTGAAGACACAGCTGTCTGGGGCAGCTACATGGCTGTGCAGGACCCTTGGCTTGGATCTACGATTCCTGTCATTGCAGCATTCTGGGGGCGCTGAGCCAGGACTGAAAGCTTCCCCAGGGACCCATGCAAAGGATTTTGGGAATGGAGCATGATTTGGGAACTGGCTGAATCACAGGTAGGGCTGGAGAGCAAACAGTGGAGACCAGCCACCACTGGATGTCAACCGAGCACATGGCTCTGTCCCTGACATGCTGGGCTGGCTGGCTGTGGGTGCTAGCCATGCTTGTGTCAAGGGCAACAGCCCACATGACAGCACTTCTGTTATTGATGGCTGAAGGGCGTCCCTGTGGCACCACCGCATCACTAAGAGCAAGTCAGACGGGTCAGGGTAGGAAACACTTTTATTCTTTAAGAAAAGGAAACTACAACTGTACTTATTGGTGATCATACCAGTCATTATTAGATAGCACATGCTATTAAGAAAAACAAATCTCGCCTTTGGGAGCTGCTTGGGGCCAGACGATCCCCTCCTCTCCTCACGTGAACAGCACGTGGGGGTGTGACTGCAGAGTAAGACACACTGCGCATGGACCAGGGCTGCAGCTCACTCTGAGCCTTCATTTGCCACCACAGGCGGTCCAACTGTGAGGCTACCTATCCAATCACCACAAAGCATTTCAGACCTGTATTAATAATCACTAGAAAAAGGCACTTTAAATGTACTTGACAAGGAGCAACACCAAAGCAATGAGAACTGGTCCAAGTCTTGCATGAAACTTTTTCTGTAATTTAAATATACTATATTCTCTCCACATCTGTATACATCTGTATAGGTAGCACATTCTGCATGTATACATAAAGGAATATGTATGCATGTCAACATCTACACATATATAAATGTGTGTATCTGTCTCTAGAGTGGAAAAAATGTTTCCTTTAATTAAATATTACACAAAAATTCTCTTTAATTTGAACAAAGGATAAGGGAAGTACAGGACATGGTGACCCACACCTGTAATCCCAGCCCTCAGGAGGCTGAGGCAGGAGGATCATTGTGCATTCAATGCCAGCCTGGCTACTAAGCAAGTTCAAAGCCAGCCTCAAATACACAGCAAGGCCCTGTCTCAAAAAAAACAAACAAAAACAAAAACACCCCCCCCCCCCGAAACAAACAAAAAAAGGTACTGGAAAATAATGGCAAAGAAAAGTACCCACTAAGCCTTCTACGTACCCTCCAAAAGCAGTGAATAAGTACTTGGAACCCTCCAAGGTTGTCAACTGTAAAACAGCAAATCGTAGCTTACTTCCTTATAAGGAAAGCTTACTCCCCCCTGGGAATGAATGGGGACATTCGTGGTCCTGTAATCTGCACACAGCCATACGTCCATATTGCTTGGGGTGAAGACACCAGAATGAGCGGAGGACAATTCCACAAATTCTTTCAGAGCTCACCAAGTTTTAGCTATACCGTTATATATATAAACAATCTTTTATAAATACATAGAATGTTAAAAATCTCAAAATATTTAGGAGCACTCAGGGATTTGCTAGGAAACAGCTGTTGCGCCAATCCAGGCCGGCACTCTGGAGCTGCCATTCTGCCCCGCACCACCTGCGCAGGCATGGACAGAGGCCGACTCTGCCTTCGCACAAGGGTGCAGACCTGCTGTTACTCTTAAAATGTGAAAACACCACTAGCAATGGCATTTAAGTTTTAATTGTAAGACTGCAGAAAGCCTGAGACCAAAAATCAAAGCAATTCTTAAAAGGTTAAGACCCAGACTCGGTGCATTTCTGCTTTTTGGCCGCCGGCTCCTCCGTCTGGAGGGACTCTAAAGTGCTTGTGCTGCATCTGAGGCTGGCGTCTGCTCTGAGGTTGTCCAGGACCACAGTGAACCCTGACAGAAGGTAGCCTCCACCTCCGCTCATCAGCAGTTTGGGGTGACTTCGATCTGGCAAAACCTAATCAAGACAGGAAAGAAGACTCATGTTTCTGCAGTACAGCACACTTCAAAAATCAGATCTGAAGGGCGGGTCAAATAGCTCACAGGACTAAAGCGCTTGCTTAGGCAGACGCAGGGACCGGGATTTGGATCCCGCCCCCACGCTGTGCCAACCCCACCCTGGGGCGTACTGAGATGCTGATTGAGACTGGGCTGGTGGCATGCACCGGTAATGCCAGCACTTGGGAGGCTGAAAATAGGAGGATCACTATGAGTCCGATTTGTGTAGTGAGACCTTGTAGACCCTGTACTAAATACATTAAAAAAAAAAAATCAGATCTGAATGACAAGTTTCTCTTGAAGATTGAAATGGACTAATTTCTAAGGAGCACATTCCTTCACCTGACAGTGCTGAGAAAAGCACAGAAGTTAGTTTCAGTGACCTTTCTTTCTTCTTCTTCTTTTTTTTTTTTTTTTTGGCGGAACCGGGGATTGAACTCAGGCCCCTGCGCTTGCCAGAGAAGCACTTATGCCACTGAACCATCTCCCTGGCCCCTTTCTTTCTTCTTAAATAAAACTGAAGCTTCATTCCTGCCAAACCTAAAGCAAGTTCCCGCAAACAATGGCAGATGGCCGTGCAGCAGTGCTCTGGGCCCTCCTGCTGCCTTCTCTTGTGGCTCTAGGAAGCTCCACAGCTGGCGATGGAACACGACCTCAGAGAAGTGGCTACACTCAGAACCTACTTCTCAGACAGCAATTCTCCCATTATCTGAACTAAGAAGAGGGCTTCCATAAAGGCAGGGTCACTCAGGGCTCAACAGCAGCCCTCGCATGGTATGAAAGCTTCCAAGCAGTGGGCTATGCCTGTGGCAGCCTGGAAGTGCCCCTTGAATTCTGCTTTTGGAGAGAACTGGTACTCGGCAGTGGCGGGCCTCCAGCTGCTGTTGGATCCATTGAGACACTCTTACTGAGGGGACATAGCTGCTCCTGGTTGTGACTGAACACAGAGACCCGTAACACAGGGCTCCCTTATGGGGAAATCATGGCCCCTAAGCCTTTCTCAAGAGTGCTACAGGCTCTTGCACCATGTCCCCTGCCCAAGGCACAGCCTGCACCACCTACCTAATCCTGTTCCCTCCCTGCTTCTCTTCAAAAGCCATTTCCCTGACTTCCACCTGGCAGGTCTTCTGGCCCAGCCAACCCCGCCTGACCACTTCCTGTGAAGATGTGGGGCGGTGGGGGGCACTTTCTTGCCATAGCTACTGCTGATTACCCCTCCACAGTGCCACCAAGGCCTTGGGGAAATACAGATCACAGTGATTTGCATTTTAACTGCTGTGGGCTGGAGTTACTCCCACAGATATGGTAAGAGAAGAGTATCAGGAAACGTCAGAGGCACTTTCTCTAAGTCACAGACTTTTCCACTGTTGTGACCAGGGTCAGGGAAGCAAGTCCAGAGAGCAGCTACCGGCTACATACCTGATAATTTCGCAGCCAGGTTTCAGACAGCCTGAGGTTGATGACTCCTCCTCTCTCTCGAAGTTTTGTGTAGCATTCCAACAAAGGCTGGTGGCAAAAACAGTTTGACTAAGAAATACTTCCTGGGTGTAGTTTGAGAATCTAAATCCAGATGCTAAGGTTCCTGCCCACTTCGTTCTGGCATTACCTCTTTATACTGACAGTAGACCACGAACGGCCGTGAAGGGGCCACGAAGTCCAGTAAAGCTAGCAGCAGAGGAGTGGGATGGAAACGACTTGCCACGATTAAACTAAAAAGAAAGCATCAGGCAGATTACTTCTCTACTCCCCTGACACAGAGCATACATTTAAAAAGACCATGTAAAATCATGCACTTATTTCTATGATTCATGCAAAGAATTAAATGCAGCATTCTAGAAATTCAGAACAATAAAGTCAAGAGCTGTTGATTTTTAGGAAACATACACTGGGTTACAAGTTCTCAAGGCAGTTGGTAACCCAAGAAGCCCTGCATTCTTAATTTTGTTTTGGAATCATCTGGGAGCAAATCTGATGCTGTAAATGCTGGCTCTGCACACGTCTGAATCTCTCTCCTCAGCTCCTGTCATCAGCTGCACCACAGCCATCTGCAAGCTCTGCCAGCCAGCCCCAAACACTTACTGCCACCAAACAGCCTCATCAGATATACTGCTACTGGACAGCATTTTGAGCTCTTCTGAAATTCACAGCATCAACTTCCTGCCTCTGATAGATCCAGGCCTTTTTTTTTTTTGAGATGGGGTCTTGCTATGTCATCCAGCCTGGCCTTAATCTATGTAGCACCTGCCGGCCCCCAACTTGTGGCACCTGCCTCGGCCACAACAGGTGTGAGCCAATATGCTTGGTCCAGCTTCTTTTCTTTAAGCCCAAGACAGAATCCTCCGTGTTCCCTTGAGAATCAGAGTAGGCAAGTGGCACACCCCTGTGGAGCCAAGCCCACGAGCACCCACAAGCACCCCGTAATCTCGCATCAACGCACCCATCTGCATTTCTTTCACTCAGCAGAGCAGCAGCTTCTAAATGTCTTTTCCTCTGCTCTTCTTGTCTCCTCTGCTTTTCCTGAATCTTCAAGAAGAAAAACAAGAAGCCAGGGCACTGAAGTTATTCAGTCTGGCTTATGGAAAAAGCTCTAGTTTAGTGACAGCATCCAACAAGACCAACTCAGAGTAAAGCAACAGGAGAAAGACGAAAACACAAGAAAACCTACATAGTACAAAGCCCTCAGGAGGAGGCTGAGGCAATGCTTGTGTCCAGAGCGCCATCCTGAGACGAAGCCACGCTCTGCGAACACGGATGCACTGCCCTCCTCCACTGCTCTGCTTGCATCATCGTAGGAGGATGCCCCACAGCCAGCCCCATCTTAGTACTTAAGTGAGCTTCACCAAGGCCCGAGAACTACAAGGATACAGCGGCTGTGGTGCTCTTACGTAATCTTTTTTGCTTCCTCTCTCCTTAGGCTCCTTGTATTCTGGGTCTTGAGCAACAACATCCATCGTCTCTTGCTCTTCTGGGTGACTGCTCTCTGGTGCCTCTGCAGAGGCGTCCTCAGGGTCTTGTTCCAGAGGCTGTTTGTCCTCACCTACCCCGTTACTCTCTTGGACAGAAGCACTGTCTTTCAGCTCTGGAGATAACATCTCAGCAGAAAATGTGCCATTCAGGAGACTATCTACTTTGTTGAGGGGGAATTCATAGAGACTACTGAGGAAAGACTTGGGAAAACCAAAACATGCTGTTGCCGCTCGAACAGGTCCATCTCCGGGGTACAGCTGAATAATGGAGCCAAAACCTGAACAGACAAAAGAAAACGTTTACAGAGTGGTGGCTACCTAAGCCCTCAGCATCTTCAGTGTAATGAAACTGAGCTTTTTCTGTCTCAAGGCTCCGAGCCGAGAAAACTCCTCTGGGATCTGCTGGGAATCTTAAGGTAGCTCATTCCCACTTGACACTGCAGTGAAACCCAGACTATACAGGTCTGGATGGCACATCATCGATTCCTCTCTGCCTTCCATCCCAACCCTCAGTGGAGGTCATTATCAGTGCTTACGCTCCACAGGCTCTGAGCAGGAACAGGCTGAGTTGGTTCTCCTGGGAGAGGAGACATTTCCAAATCAGTTGCCCCTACTCAGGTAAATGAAATGAGCGCCAGCTCTTTTAACTGAAATAGGTTTTCCTAGAATCCTTGTTCCAAAGGCCGCCCGCTACTAGCCACAGGTTCCATAGCAGCCCCACTGGTGCTGAGGCTAGGAGGACCACCCCCACCCTGGGCCCCACACACCTAAGGCTGGGAGATCTGGCCCTTGCAGAGGCCCTGGAGCCACATGGGTTTACCTGCACCTCATTAACCTTAGTCACTCGATGCAATGTTCTAACAGTCTGGGTTTCTGGGCCCCTCTTCTCACACTGGGGTAGGGTTTTACCACATCTGAAAGCGTTCAGGCTCACCTCCCATCCGCTCCATCATTGCACCCAGCACCAAGCCCGAACATGTTTCCATGACGATCATCTTATTGCCAGCTCGGATATTTCCCAATGTCAGCATCTGGGCTAGTGTATCATATCTCATGTGGCTAAGGAAAAAAGCACGATTCATTCACTTTTAGCTGGGGAAGGCCTGCAACTTCAATCATTGTTTTTCAAGTTTTGTTTGTTTTATAAAAATTATGTTGACTGCTTTGGAGGTGACAGAAAAGGACTTACAATTTATGAGTTAGGAGGGTACTTTATGCAGGTGAGCAAGTTTTTCATTTTACTTAAAATCATGACTCTCTTAAAGACACATTTCCCCCAATTATACTTGTGAAAGGAAACAAAGCGTACTTAATTTTTCCAGGTTCTCTTGCATAATACATAATTGAAAGAATACGGGTGGATGGCTTCAAAATAGTAACGACAGCTTCGTATCTAGGGGAATGAAAAACAGAACACTGATCTGAAAAAGTTTAAAAGTTTTATCTTTAGTAATATATAGTTCATAAATATAGAAAAGTAGCTAATATTTTTAATGGTTTAAAAAGCTACTTACTTCTTTTTCTTCTTTTTTATATACTTGTCCTGAGCAAATTCTGTCTTGTCTCGGAATGTTGTACTATTTTCAATTAACTGCTGAACTATTTCCTATAAGAAAAGGAGCAAATCTGCCACAAAACTAAGAACTTCAAAGGCTTTTTACCCTAGAATATATCCAAACGTCTAATTTTCCAGGCCCCCTTCAACACGGTCCAAACAGACTAAGTGTATTTCTAGACTATTCAGAAATTTGTAATGAAGTACCAAGTCCTGTACAACTCCCTTCAAACCATGATAATAGGGCAAATAAGACATAAAGGAAGCTCATTCTTGATGACCCTGGCTGAGAACACTCCTGAAAATGAGCAACGTTAGCGCCTGATTCACGCTGTTATTAAACCTCTAGCACTAATGTTAGAGAGAACATTCATCCATTCCTGCATTTCTTTTGTTGTTGTTTTGGTTTTTTGGAACCGGGATCGACCTCAGGCCCTTGTGCTTGCCAGGGAAGCGCTTATTCTACTGAGCCATCTCCCTGGCCCCTCATTCCTGCATTTAAGAAACAAAATCTTGACATTCGGAATATGATGAATGTTTCTAATAAAAACAATTTTCCCCCAATGCCTTAGGTAAAGTCAGCTTTAAAAGCCAGTTTCCTTTACACCAAGCAAAAGCAAAATTAAAAAGTCCTTTGGGCATTACCTCTCCTTTAATGCCCTTGTCTTTCAAAGCTCTGATGTCATCCTGAGTGAGTTTCTGAGATTTCCCATCATCAATTATATTTCGATTGTCAGTGCCAGCTTCTTTAGTCTCTAAGGAAAGAAATTTCTTTATGTCACGTATAATCTACGATTAGTTTAGAGCCTCTTTTCAATGTTCCCATCCGCATCCAACCCATCAGCTACTTGGGCTCGGCCTTCCTTCTGCTCCATCGCCCTCTGTCACTGTCTACTGCTCTTTCTCACCAGCTCTGCTCCAGGTTCTAACTCTTCTTCCTGCTCACACTCTCATCCCTTCCTAGCCACATGGATTCCAGAATGCTCTTTCTGAGGAATGTAAATTGGCTGTTCTCTTCAGATGCTTCAAACAGCACATTGGCTTCCAATGTAAAAGCTGTACAATGTGGGCAGGGAGATAACTCAGTAGAATAAGAGCCTGACTGGCAAGTCCAAGGTCCTAAGTTCAATCCCTCATATTGAAAAAAAAAAAAAAAAAGGAAAACCAAAAGCCACACAATGAGAGACTGTCGCCCAGGGGGACCCTCCAGGTCACAGAAGATTGGCCTTGCCTATCTTTGCTTAGCCTCGCCTCTTGAACCCTAAGCTTCAGCTACACAGCCCTTCTATGCCAAATGACTTGGGAACCTACTGCTCCCTCTGCCTGCAAAGCCCTCGTGACAAATCTCCTGTCACTCATGACCTTACACAAGGCTCACTGTACCCACTGACTCCAGTACATGCCCCACTTTACATCTTCACAAGTGACGCTGCTTGCTTGTGGACCAGAGTATTTTAGCTATTCTCCACTGTAAGAAGTTTATGTAAGTCTAGCTCATGAACTGCTATACTCTACAGTGCCTAATTCTGCCTGGCACCTATTTGCTACTTAACAAAAATATGGACATTAATTTAAAAGTACAGTGGCACCTCAGTTCACGAACTATTTTGTTTGCTAACTATTTGGCTCACAACAGAAGTGTCTGGCAAATTTTGTTTTTGTCTGCCAACTGTGCATTGGGTGACAAACATGACCACAGCCATCTTTCCCACATAAATACAAGTCTTTTCTAAAATTATAGAACACATTAAGTTCGTGAACCCAGGTACCACTGTATTTAATTAATGGGTTGGACTCAGAACTTTAACACTCTTATTTTTTAATTAAATATTTTTATCAATAAGATTTTTTTGTGCACGGTCTCACTACGCAGCTCAGACTTGTAATGATACTCTTGATTTTTGCCTCCCTAGTGCTGGGATTACAGGCGTGTACCACAACGCCCAGACTAATAAGATATTGTATTAAAAATATTTATTTTAATGAATAGTGTTAAGTGTATTTAATTTTAATGATTAACACTTGCTAAAATGATGAGATCCTTGACACAGGCAAGGCACTGTGGGGAACAGCCATGAGTTGTGTTACAAACTGGCCATTAAACCTATTTAGGGTCTCATTACACATGAGTATATCAGAACTAGGGAGTCAAATCGCCAGCTCTAGATCTCAGGGTAGGCAAGGAAGCAGGCATGTAAACCCAGCCAGTCGGCTTCAAAGCCAGAACTCCTAACATCACAGCCCCAGCCTACAGTTGTTTCACTTCAGGGCACTGCTGGGTCTACACAGCTGCCTACAGGAAAGCAGAAGGAACTTTCTGACTAGAGCCAGCTCAACGTCACAGTGCAGTCTGTGACGGGTTGGAGCCAGAACCCAAGCGGGTTTATCACCAAGGTAGGACTTGCTCAACTAAGCAACAGTTCTTAGATGATGGGTTTATACTTCTTCTGAGATAGCCCGGGCTGGAATTAATTGCAAGTTGATGTGTTTCTAGCCATCTAGTTAGTCAACATTTCTTTCTTCCTTTTTTTTTGGGGGGGGGAGGGGGATGGTGGACCCAAGGGTTCACACCTGCTAGGCAAACATTCCCCAGAGAGCTATGAGCTATCTCCCTAGCAAACACCCCACCCCATTTTGAGACAGGTCTCACTCTAAGTTGCGCATGCTGGCCTGGAGCTTGGGATCCTCCTGCCTCAGCTTCCTGGGTGGCAGCTGGTATTGAAGGCATGTGCAACTGCACCCAGGGACAGCACCTATTTCACACATCGAAGTGGAGCACCTGAAGTAGATTCTTCCTTTTTCTTCTTGGGCTGAAGACTTCCTCCACCGGTCACTTCAAAGGTGGTTCCATAACTATGACCAATGACATTATCCAGGTAGAACCACTGTTTTTCAAAAGTTACTTTTCTGGGGAAGAAAAGGAAAGCAATTAACTGATTTTTTCTGCATTCAGTATAAAAAAAGAGATGCTTACTCCAGTTTATCTCAAAAGTGGTCTCCACAATAGATCAGTATTATTTCTGTGAAAACAAACTGACAAATGGACTAGAAAGAATCAGGCTTAGGCAGAGATGTAAACTTAATAAAGAAACCAAGAAAACACTGACTTTAGAAAGGGAAACAAAGGCAGAAGACACTCCTCTTCCAAGGCACAGAACTCACAGGTTCTGCAGTTTTCCTCAACAGAGAGCAGAGTGGCCAAGATGGCTTGGCCACTGGCCGTACACCGCGCCCCCTTCTGCAATGCACCCTGGCCTCGTTCAGAGCAAAACAATCAAGGAGAAGAAAAAGATTCGAGAAATTTCTTGGCCTTGGTCTAATAGGCCATTTCACTAGAAAATGATCTAACACAAGCAGATTATATTTACAAATAAATACTATTGGAAATCTAAACACTTGGAAATGGAACTACCACTGACAATGCTCTGCTGGGTCTTTCCTCATACGCAGATCTATGTCCTACTGCAGTTTCAAAGAGAAATCCAACAAAAACCTTGCCTTTTAAAAGAAGAATACTAAAAGCTATGCGTGGTAACACATATCTATAATCCCAGTACTTCAGAGGCTGGCGCAGGAGGATCGCTGTGGATTTGAGATCAGCCTGGGCTGCAAAGTGAGCTCAAGGCAAGCCTGAGCTGCATAGCAAGACACTGTCTCAAAAAGAAAAAAAAGAAGAAAAAAAAAAAAACTAGTATTTACTGAGCATGAACTATAGGTTTTAGCCTGTATTAGCCACTGTATGCCAGGTATGTTTTATACTTTTAAATTCTCATGGTAAACCTGGGACATAGCTTTTCCCAAAGAAGACCAAAGCCTAGAGAAAAGTATACTCAGTGTTCAAGATTTGCTGTGACCAGATGCTGGAGCTGGAATTCAAATTCAGACCCGTCTGATCCCCAGGTACAGCTCTTCCCACTGTCACACAGGCTACCCCAGCAGAGCCCACAGAACCTTAGGAGCCTCCAGCCAGCTGCAGGACCTGGCCCTCACCCATGGAATTCTGAACTCTGGGAGCCGCACCAGCGAGCTCTGCTTGTGCCCCACCTCCTTCCTCTTCTTTTCTGTGTGCTCCCAGGGACTCAGATATATTACTGCAGCACTCACGCTCCCCTCGCAAATGTTTCCCATAACCGCTAGGTCCTGAGCATGTCACTTTTCCTGACTGGTTTCTATATCCTGCTACACCTTTGTAATGTGTATGTGTCACATCTTTATTTAATGTCATTTGAAGCCCTATGAGAGACACATGGTGTGACCCAAAGGGATCCAGATAAGATCAATTCTTCTCTTTGCTGGGTTCCTACTAATCAATACAGACATTCAAAATATTTGGTGACACAAACATCTGAGTCCCTTAGAAGCTCAAGCTCTCAGCCCAGATGTCCACTCTACGCTCATCCTTCAAGCATCGTGGTGCTAAAAGAAAACTGGTCTACTTGATGTAGAAAGGCAGGGAGGGGTGTCCTCTGGAGATGGAAGCCGTGTCTTCACTGGGAAGGAGGAGGATGTACAGTATCCTCCTCAGCGAGCCAGAACTGCTTCTACTCAATCAGATGAGTGTGGCCCAGAGGGAGGTAAGGAGGGTAGGGTGTCCAGCCTGGGTACATCAGATTTCAGAGGGTCATTTTTAATACAAGACAGAAATCACCAGTATGGCCCTGCCAAGAACAGAGATGCTAAAGATAGAGGCCCCGGTATAAAGTGCAGGGCAGCTCAGTGGGAAGACAAGAGAAGCAGGAGAGGTCTCGAAGGTCCAGGTTGAAAAAGGATCCCGAATGGAAGGCCACTGTTAGGAAGATCAGAGAAGAGGCAACGTGGGCGGGAGATGCGGAAATCAAGACTCAAGAACGGGATGCTGAAGGGAGGGGTCTACAGAAAGACTGGGAGAGCTTTGTGCCGAAGGTGGAGACCCCCCAGGGTCAGCAACCTCACTTACTTTCTCCGTTGTACCTGTACTGCTTTGAACACCTCTTCCCGTTTCAGGACCACGAAGTCGCCGTCGCGAACGCGGTGGTCCCCAGGATGCGGGGGCTGTGAGCTCGGCTGCTCCCCTGAACCCTCCATGGCCCTCAGCCGGTCTCCAGGTTCCTCGGTCGCTGCAGTTTCCAGCGCCTTGTCCTTCTGCCTCCGCGGTTGCGGCAGCCAGCTCCGCCTCCCACCACCCAGAGGGACTCGAGGGCCTCCAACCGGCACCTCCCCCACGTGCTGCCGGGGCTTCCGCTTTCCGGCTCGGTCCTCCGGCCCACTTCCGGCGTCTGTCCGTCCGCATTCCCTGATTGGCTACATTTCTCCCCGCCCCTCCCACCGGCGCGTCCCTAAACGGAAGTTACGTCACAGGCGCGCCAAAAAGGAGTTGATTGAGTGACTAGCCGTAGGTTGTGGTGCTGTTGCGCAGCTCCACGCCCCTAACGCTTTTCCAAGTGAGTGGAAAAACTGAAGTTCCTGAGCTGCTGCAACGAGAGGGGCAGGTCCTGCGCTGGACCTTCGGCAGAGCCGCGGCTGAGGAAAGCCAGAAGACCTGGCAGGGGTCGCCTGAGGAGCTGGAGGTAGAATCGAGCCCGATGGACTAGCGCGTGGCTGTCTCTGCAGTCTTACATTTGTGTTGAAATTGCTATGGGTCACTCAGCATAGGAACCACATCAGCCAGATAGAAATTTGAGTAGAGCCTTTTCTTTACTGAGCTCAGGTCGGTCAGGCGTTTCTCACGCGGGAGAAGGCTGATCGGCAATGGGAGGTAGGTAGCAGGGGGATGTTTATAACAGAAATCACATCCAGTTTGGTAAGCGAAGTTGTTATCTAGCGCGGAACAACAGAAGACTACTTCCATTTGACACAGCTGCGCACTGTTCGTAACTAAAGATCTTTCATAGCTTAGTGATAAGGGCATATTTTACAGGATACATCTTAAGCTGACCACGTTACAGGAGCTGGTTAGAAGGGAGCCTGATGCCTTGACAAGAAACATTTATTGTTGAACAGCCTTGAGCCGAGAGGGAGAATACATGTATGTCTTGGAGTAGATAACAGGAAGCACAAGGTTTTTAAAATTTCCCATAATTAAGGCACTGAATTCTATTAACCCTTTACAGAATTGGTCCTTTTTTCAGCATATTAACCTCTTTTAAAAAGGATACGGTTGGGCCAGGGAGATAGCTCCGTAGAATAGACGCTTGCCTGGCAAGCGCCAAGTGCCTGAGTTCAATCCCCGGTTCCGCCAAAAAAACAAACCAAACAAACAAAAGGATATGGTAAGGTTAGTGTCAGAGGAGCGCCTCAACTTGCGAGTCCGAGGACGGTTTGGCTGTCTCCGCCGTCACCAGACAACAGTGATCTTCGAAGCTATGCTTAATTTCCTCGAGTCGGTTTCTCCTGCCGTTCCCAAGAATTGTGAACTGTTTATTTATTTTTGGCGGAACCAGGGATTGAACTCAGGCCCTTACGCTTGCCAGAGAAGTGCTTACTCCACTGAGCCATCTCCCCAGCCCTTTATTTGAATCTGTAAGATACGAATTTTTGTAGGTAGTTTTTTTTTAGAGCAGTTTTAGGCATATAAAAAGATTACACAGACAATGGATAAGACCCTACGGGAGTGGTGATATGGAAGGAGCTGTGGTGAGGTACCCTTACTATTCACGGGTTAAGATTATGCGCAGGAGTACTACCCTCTAGTATGTCTTAAACTTAAACGTAGTGAACAAGTTACTTTGTTTTGTTTTTGTCACGGAGTCTCCTTGTAACTGGTGCGATATAGTACGTGTTTTTATTCCATGAGCATTTAGTTTGTGCTTGAGCATTCGTACATTAAAAAGTGATGGGGGGGCTGGGGAGATGGCTCAGTAGGATAAGCGCTTGACTGGCAAACGTAAGGATCTGAGTTCAATCCCCGGTTCCGCAAAAAAACAAAACAAAATAAAACAAAAAAAATGTGATGGGGATTAGAAGAGCCATTGCAGAATGCTTGTTTCCCCTCCATCAACAGGAGCTGTCCCTACAAACCTGTGCTGGTTACTAGCTCTTGTTTTTGCTTTGGGATTCTTTGATTAATGTTTACTGGTAACTCTCGGCCATAGAAATGACTGCCGTTTCTTGCTACTTCAAGAGGTTACTTCAGTGTTCCCTTTCTGCTTTCGAGTCCCGTCCCCCGTCCCCTGTCCCCTGTCCCCCGTCCCCCGTCCCCCGTAGTACCAGGGATCAAACTCAGGACCTTGTGCTTGCCAGGCTGCATGCTGTTTTCAGACATAGAATACATAAATTATTCTTTTCTTTAACTACATAAATACACTTTTTTTTTTTTTTGGCGGAACCGGGGATTGAACTCAGACCCTTGCACTTGCCAGGGAAGCGCTTATTCTACTGAGCTATCTCCCCGGCCCCTGTAAATACACTTTTAGGAACACTACCCCATCCAGTTTTTATGAACCCTTTTTTAATCTCTGTCTCTTAGAGGACATGAGTGGAGCATATAGAGGCAGAGGATTTGGACGAGGAAGATTTCAAAGCTGGAAAAGAGGAAGAGGTGGTGGGAACTTCGCAGGAAAATGGAGAGAAAAAGATCACAGACCTGACCTGAATAAAACCACTGGAAAACAAACCTCTGGTAGGTGAACTCACTGATTACTTTCTTCCATGGTAGAAGAAGTAATTTGTCTCTAGCATAGCATAGCTCTTAATTCACAAGTTTAACTCAGATTTGAATTTTTCATTTGATTTTATTCCTTTTCAAGTATTTGAATATCAGTGTCCAGAATTTTTACTGAAGACTAATTTAGACAATCTGTTAATGTCATGTAAGATTCTCATTAATTGAGCATAATTTTTTTTTCCAGATCAAACCCCACAGTGTTCGCTACTACAGTCAACATTGGATCAGTTTATACCATATAGAGGGTGGAAGCTTTATTTTTCTGAAGGTAGAGGCAAAAGTGCCATAAGTTACATTTCCTTCATATGTCTTTGGGTGCTATACCGTGTACTACTATAATTCATTTTAGTTACTGAAATATACCTGTTAATGTTTATTTTTCTAAATGGTTAAGTCATGCTTATGTTAAAAAAACGTTTAAGTTTTGTATTAGTCAAGGAAACAAAAGCTACACTAGATATTTCAAAAAAGGAAGGAGTTGGGGTATAGATAGAAGACTGAGGGCTGGGGGTATAGCTTAGCGACATAATCGCCTCTCTGGCAAGCACAAGGTCCTGAGTTTGATCCCTGGTACCGCAAAAAAAAAAAAAAAAACCTGAAAGTGCAGAAAGGGAACATTGAAGTAATCTCTTAAAGTTGCAAGAAACAGCAGCCATTTCTATGGCTAAGAGTTACCAGTAAGGTGCAAACTTTAATCATAGCATCACAGAACAGAAACAAGATCTAGTAACCAGAATAGGTTTGTAGAGACATCTGAGGGAGCTCCCTTTGATGACCAAGAATACCAGCCAGTAGCATATATCTGTCCATATTGATGTGCGGAAGTGTCTTTTCTATGCTCTTTTGTTTGCTTATTATATCTCTTAGGAACTATAGGCTTTATTTTAGATATGTATATATCCATGTCTTTTCCTCTAGACTAGACTATAGTGCTTGCCTTGTACCAGCCACTCAGTATTTGTTTTGTAAATAAACATAAAAGCATTGTACAAAAATGTTACTCAGTGTAGCCTGCTTGTGAGGTGTTTATCCAAAAATGCTGTGTTCAGGGCCGGGCATGGGGGCTCACGCCTGTAATCCCAGTAATCGGGATGCTGAAGCAGGAGGATTGTTTTAAGTTGGAGACCAGCCTGGGCTACAAAGTGAGCTCAAGGTCAGCCTGAACTGCATAGCGAGACCTTGCCTCAAAAAGACCAGGAAAAAAAAAAGGTTTGTTCTTTTTGTGGCAAGTGCTTGTGCTGCTGAAGGCTAACTCCTCAAAATAAAAGCTACAAAGAAGACTAATGCTTCATTAAAGTAACTATATAGTTGTTGCTACTAATGCTTATCCCATATATCTGGTACAAAAAAACTGATAACGAATGGTTTAAGCATAGCAGGGCAGGGCAGGTGAGGTAGCTTACTAGACGTGCGCTCTGGCATGGCTGCCTGCTGCTGTGGATCAGGATCATCACTGCTTTAATGTTCAGACATGTATTTCAGTTGCTCTGATAAAGGAGAAATGGATACATGTTTATGGTTTTTTGTAAAGATAAATGCAATGATTTGTTTCTTTACACAATTTTTTCATTTCTGTGAACATTTTTGTTGATTTAACCCATAGTTTTTTTAACAGAAAAATGGAACATGTAGTTGTTCTTTGTGTATAAAAGCCATTTTCCACAAAACTATGTTTTTTTCCTTTAGTTTATTAGTACATGTATATAGTACATAATAGTTATATTCCTTCTGGGAAGTTGGTATGTATCATAACACTTTTGTTTTTTAATGTATTTGCTACAAGGTCTCACTATGCAGCTCGGACTTGTAGTGATCCTCCTGTTTCAGCCTCTCCAGCGTGGGGAGTACAGGCGTGTGCCACCACGCTTGGTTTCAGTGGCCAGCTCAGTGCACCTGGGGGCAGGGGCAGTGTGGCATGTGGTGCTGGGGATCAAACCCTGGTCCCTGCGCTTGCCGAAGTGGGCGCTTAGTCTGCCAAGGCTGAGCTCTCTCACCAGCCCTTATAGCACTTCTTAATTCGTTTTTATATCCCCTTTCCCTTCCCTCACTTTCACCCTTCTCTTGATCCTTCTCCTTTTCTGTTTTTGTAATGTTTGTAGTATGTAATGTTTTATTCCTTCCTACAAAAACTTTAATCACTTGATTTCATCTAAGATTATTTAAAAATTGAAGTACACTGATTTATTTATGTATTTATTTATTTTGTGTGTGTGTGGCCAGCTCAGCCCACCAGGAGGCGGGGCCGCGGTCCCTGTGCTTTGCTTAGCTTAGCTTGTTCTAAGTAGGTGCTTTAGACCACTGAGCCATCTCACCAGCCCCGAAGTACACTGATTTAAAAGAAGCTAGTGTTCTTTTAACGAAGTCCATACTGGTAGTACTCTGGATTTTTCCTGGGAAATGATGAGTATGTTTCATAGATTATCTTTTTTTTACTTAAGGGAATTATTTCCCATTCAACAACAGTTGTATTAGTTCCCTAGCAGTTAGCTCAAAACACTGTACATGATCTTTGGGCTGGTCCTAAACTATTTCATTGTACTATTTCCCCATGAGAGACCAATTTGAAGATATAACTGAACTTTTACGATGTTAAGAAAAATAGTTTTATATTTTGAGTTGAGTAAAGCATTAGTCTGTCTCCAGATCTTGGGAAAGATTTTGACAAGTGGCAATTTGGACTGATGTGACTTCACAGAGATTGTCATTGTCTTAGCTATATTTCAGAATAAGAATGTAGTTCATGTGTCTGTCTTTGGCATTATTACATTGTTTGTTTTAGGCTTATTGTGTTAAGTTGCTTGAACTGATACATCCTTTTAAGCATCTAAGGTTCAATTCAAAGTTTCCTAGACAATAGGGCTTTTAGAGAGATATTCCCCTGTCCATAAAGTATGCAGACCTACACTTTTTTTAAAAATTAATTAATTTTACTTTTTTTCTTTTTGAGACAGGGCCTTGCTATATAGTTCAGGCTGGCCTGGACTCGCTATATAACCCAAGCTGGTCTCGAACTCATGGTGATCCTCCTGCATGCAGCCACCGTGCTGCCTTCCCTTAAACTTGTTTACAAACTGAAGTATACATTCCTACCAGTTGTTATCTAAAGGTAATCAGAATACAAAGCAAGTTGGAAAAGACATTTACCACAGTTAATTTTTTCTGTCTCATGAAATATATGCTTGTACTTGTGCGATTCTTATGTTTATTGTATTAGTTTACAGTGATAATTCTCCTTTTGTTGAGAAGATTCAAGCATTTGAAAAATTTTTCACAAGGCATATCGATTTATATGATAAGGTAAGATTCTGTACAACAGAGCTGTTCACCCATCCATGTGTGTCCCTTGTTAGGCAGCATGTGATCTGGCTGCCAGTGATCAGATCTCAACTCTGCCTCTTGCTGCCGAGCATAGCCTTGGGGCATTACCTCCTTGTACCACTCAGAGGTAACAGTGTAAGTTCCTCTTCAAAGCTGCTTTTCTTTCTTTCTTTCTTTCTTTCTTTCTTTCTTTCTTTCTTTCTTTCTTTCTTTCCTTCCTTCCTTCCTTCCTTCCTTCCTTCCTTCCTTCCTTCCTTCCTTCCTTCCTTCTTTTTTTTGTTTTCAGTATCAGGGATTGAGCTCTGGACCTTGTGCTTGCCAGGCAGGTGCTTAAGCCACTGAGCTATCTCCCCAGCCCAAAGCTTTCTTAAGAGGCATAAATAAATTAATATTGTTAAAATGTCAGACACATGCCTGACACAAAGCCTGTGCAGTACTTAGCATCATCACCATAAATTATCTGCCCCTTGTTAGTGTGTAATCCAATGTTCAGTTATGATAATCAACTGAAAAATTATCTTCCTACTTGTGCAGGATGAAATAGAAAGAAAGGGAAGTATTTTGGTGGATTTTAAAGACCTGATAAAAGATGATGAGATAACTAACTTGATACCGGATATAGGAAATGAACTAAGGGATGCACCTGAGAAAACCTTGGCCTGCATGGGTCTGGCAGTACATCAGGTAAATATTTATTTCGTGCAGACTTTGAGCACATTTTTAAAGCAAGATCTCACAGTGAGAGTACTTTCTTTTTTGATACATTTTTAAAGATACTTAACTTTTCCTAACAGAACTGGAATTAAACCTGATCTTGAGGAGCTCTTCAGTCTCATGGGGAGGATAAGACAAGGCACCCTAGCATTATCATTTAGGAATGTGGAGCAAAAAGACCAGTCTTGGATCTAGGTTCTGTGGCATGAGGTAAATCAGTTCTCCCACAAAAGAGAAACAGCAGTATGTCCTGTGCCTGCCTGAGCTTTCTCATGGTCAGATGATACAGCATGTTGAACTGTATATTGTAGGCAAGCCAAGAGATTAAAGCTTCAAGGTACAGAGTGGAAAATCTCAGGATAGGCACAGGTGAAGTGTTGGATGTGTTCAGAGGCAGAGGGAAGATGGGAAAGCCCAAAGCAGGTGTGGGCTCTGTTAGGTCTGGAGAGGAAGATAGAATTTGTCCCGCAGTAGCAGAGAGAAGACCATATGGGGGCAAGGCACGGCTCGTGAGAATAGAGCAGGTGTAGCTCTTAGGGGCCAGGAGCCTGCCTGTGGTCTTCCTGCTGCCCAGCTTGTTGGCTCCCTGTAACCACATCCTTTCCTTTCCCCTTTCTAAAAATCTCTCTTAGGCCTTCCTATTTTCCATTTCCTTTTTTTTTTCCAGAACCGGGGATGGAACTCAGGCCCATGTGCTTGCCAGGGAAGCGCTTATTCCACTGAGCCATCTCCCCGGGCCCTATATTTTCCATCCTTGATTGCCTCTGTCTTAGGCTAAGAATTTATTATTGTCCTGAACAATTTGCCTTTGGTAGATATGAACATTGTTGCTTCATTCCACTGCATGAAGCCTGCAGCACTTAAGTGACATTGCAAGCCTTCTATGATCCACTGTCCTTCATATGTGCACTCCTGTCCATGCATTGTCCCAGCAAGACTGAGCTCTCGCTGCAGTCTTAACTGGATGGTACTCATGCTGTCCATGTACCCTGGAGTTCCCTTTGCCTCACGTAGCCAGATTCTTGTGGTCAAATCAATGGTCGGTCTCTCCATAAAACCTTTGTTAGGACCGCTTTGCAAAACTCACATAGAGTTTTGCCTTTAAATCTCTATGGCTCTTTTGACAAATATATCTGCATCTTATTTTGCCTCATAGATTGCCAGTATACTGTTCTACACACAAATAAGTATTAAATATTTGATGTCAGCTGCCTAGGAAATGGTTTGGGATATTTTAAATATCTTTTTTTTCTATTTTGATTACTCAGTGAAAATGGAGAAGTTGAAAAGTATGTTTTAATAGAATCCAGAGGGTGATGGCTTTGGGGTTGATGTAAGGTCTTCTAATGTTAAGCTCATTTGGAATAAAAGGTGGTAGAGATGTTGGGATTTTCAGTCCTAGGAGAGCAAAATCTGAAGTAAAACAATCTACTGCGAGATAAATGGTCATGAATCTTAAAGGCTTGTATCTGGTAATCCAAACAACTAATCTGAAAGCAACAATACACAAGATGACAATCATTGTAGGAGTCCTATCATTTTGTATAGTGAAATTCTGTATCATTTCGTGTGTATGTGTGTTTTACTATTTTTGTATTCTCTTTAAAAATAAAAATATAAAAAATATAAGTGATCATAATTGAATATCAAACTTTAAAGCCAGTAGAGCCCTATTTACTTTCTTTTTTTTTATCCTTTCATTTTATTCTTCTTTTCTAAAACTTTTACATACTCTCATTTCTTTATATTTCCATCTAAATTTTGGTGTCAAGTTCCTTGTG